GGGGTCAGTGTGTGGGTTCGGAGTAAGGATGAAAGGGCAGTGTGAGGAATGGGGCAGGGTCAGAGTGAGAGGGTGAAGGTTCAATGTGAGTGGTCACAGCAAGGGGTCAGGGTTCACAGGGTGTCAGTGAGAGGGTGAGAGGTCACTCTAAGTTTGAGGAGTCAGTAGTATTTTGATCCATGTTTGTGAATGGGATGGGGATTTCCCTGGATTTTGGGAATGTGTGTTTATTTTTGGATTTTAAGCTGTTTTCTGCTGATGTCAATGAGAGGCCATGTGGCCAATTGGATTCTAACACACGGTTTCTAATAAAAATAGTCAAAACGGTCAAATAAAATTGAAATTAAACCTCATTACTTGCTGTGTTTTACCTGGAATTCAGGGTCAGGGGGTCACAGGGTCAGACTACACAGGTCATGGGGTCACTACACTGTGGTCACAGGGTCACTGGGCCATGGGCACAGGGTCAGAGGGTACAGGTCACCGGGTCAGAGGTTACAGGTCACAGGGTCACTGAACTATGGGCACAGGGTCAGAGGGTACAGGTCACAGGGTGACTGAACTATGGGCACAGGGTCAGGGGGCATAAGTCACAGGGTCAGAGGGCATTAGTCACAGGGTTGGAGTACACAGGTCACTGGGTCAGGGGTCACAGGGTCACAGTGGTAAGGGTACAGGGTTGGAGTACACAGGTCACTGGGTCAGGGGTCACAGGGTCACAGTGGTAAGGCTACAGGGTTGGAGTACACAGGTCACTGGGTCAGGGGTCACAGGGTCACCATGGTCACTGTACAGGGTTGGAGTACAGAGGTCACTGGACACAGAGGGTCTAGCACCGATTCTACCTGGACGAGGGCATATAACCCACACTGACCTCTCACACCTTTTCACACTCTGACCTCTCACCTCTCACTTTTTCACACTCTGACCTCTCACCTCACTGCATCCACTCTCGGACCCTCTCACCCCACTGAGCCCACCCCCCCGGACCCCCCCCCCCCCCCTGAGCCCCCCCCCTCGGACCCTCTCACCCCACTGAGCCCGCCCCCAGACCCTCTCACCCCACTGAGCCCGCCCCCGGACCCTCTCACCCCATTGAGCCCACCTCTTGACCACAGGTTAACACCAAGGTGGAGGTTGCTATGGCGCGAATGGACGTTACTGTGAACTCCATTTCCGGGGATCGGGTGAAGACAACTCCCAGTTTTCCAACTTCAAGATCTCGTCAATGCAGAACTTTATTGGTTGTGACTCAGTGATGTGAATAAACAGAGGGAACGGAGATGGGAGGGTCCTGTGGTATAGCTGGGGGTAGCAGGCGTGGGCTGGTGGCGAGGGTTCGCACAATCAGGGCTATGGCAGGAGATTGCAGACGGGTCATGGAGAAGCAGGGTCAATATTCATGCTGCGATTCCACCTCCAGCTCCCAGACATGGAGACTGCAGGCTGCAGAGATCAGACCAGCTCCCCCCACAATTCAAATGGCTCGTCGTAAACACGTAAACCAGGCCCCGGGCATTCCTGTAAAACAGCAAGAAACACCAGTCAGGGACATTATCACCAGGGACAGCACGGGGTTAGATACGGGGTTACGCTCCCTCTACACTGTCCCCCATCAAA